TGACTGAATTAACACACTGTCTTAACAATATGATGGCATTGTGACATAGCATCTTGACCAATCAAGGTATTTCAAATGACTGAAATAACACACTGTTTTAACAATATGATGGCATTGTGACATAGCATCTAGACCAAAGATATTTCAAATGACTGAAATAACACACTGTTTTATCAATATGATGGCATTGTGACATAGCATCTTGACCAATCAAGGTATTTCAAATGACTGAAATAACACTGTTTTAACAATATGATGGCATTGTGACAAAGCATCTTGACCAATCAAGGTATTTCATATGACTGAATTAACACACTGTCTTAACAATATGATGGCATTGTGACATAGCATTTTGACAAATCAGGATATTTCGAATGACTGAAATAACACACTGTCTTAACAATATGATGGCATTGTGACATAGCATTTTGACAAATCAAGATATTTCAAATGACTGAAATAACACACTGTTTAAACAATATGATGGCATTGTGACATAGCATCTTGACCAATCAAGGTATTTCATATGACTGAATAACACACTGTTTTAACAATATGATGGCATTGTGACATAGCATATTGACCAATCAAGGTATTTCAAATGACTGAAATAACACAGTGTTTTAACAATATGATGGCATTGTGACATAGCATCTTTACCAATCAAGGTATTTCAAATGACTGAAATAACACACTGTTTAAACAATATGATGGCACTTTGACATAGCATCTTGACAAATCAAGGTATTTGAAATGACTGAAATAACACACTGTTTAAACAGTATGATGGCATTGTGACATAACATCTTGACAAATCAAGGTATTTCATATGACTGAAGTAACACACTGTCTTAACAATATGATGGCACTGTGACATAGCATCTTTACCGATCAAGATGAACAATATGATGGCATTGTGACATAACATCTTGACAAATCAAGGTATTTCATATGACTGAAATAACACACTGTGTTAACGGTATGATGGCATTGTGACATAGCATCTTTACCAATCAAATTATTTCATATGACTGAAATAACACAAGGTGTTAACGGTATGATGGCATTGTGACATAGCATCTTTACCAATCAAGGTATTTCATATGACTGAAATAACACACTGCTTTAACAATATGATGGCATTGTGACATAGCATCTTGACCAATCAAGGTATTTCAAATGACTGAAATAACACACTGTTTTAATATAACTATATGATGGCATTGTGACATAGCATCTAGACCAATCAAGGTATTACAAATGACTGAAATAACACACTATTTAAACAGTATGATGGCATTGTGACATAGCATCTTGACCAATCAAGGTATTTCAAATTGTTGAAATAACACACTGTTTTAATATAACTATATGATGGCATTGTGACATAGCATCTTGACCAATCAAGGTATTTCAAATGACTGAAATAACACACTGTTTTAACAATATAATGGCATTGTGACATAGCATCTAGACCAATCAAGATATTTCAAATGACTGAAATAACACACTGCTTTAACAGTATGATGGCATTGTGACAAAGCATCTAGACCAATCAAGGTATTTCATATGACTGAAGTAACACACTGTCTTAACAATATGATGGCACTGTGACATAGCATCTTTACCGATCAAGATGAACAATATGATGGAATTGTGACATTGCATCTAGACCAATCAAGATATTTCAAATGACTAAAATTACACACTGTTTTAACAATATGATGGCACTGTGACATAGCATCTTTACCAATCAAGATGAACAATATGATGGAATTGTGACATTGCATCTAGACCAATCAAGATATTTCAAATGACTAAAATAACACACTGTTTTAACAATATGATGGCATTGTGACATAGCATCTAGACCAATCAAGATATTTCAAATGACTAAAATAACACACTGTTTTAACAATATGATGGCATTGTGACATAGCATCTAGACCAAAGATATTTCAAATGACTGAAATAACACACTGTTTTAACAATATGATGGCATTGTGACATAGCATCTTGACCAATCAAGGTATTTCAAATGACTGAAATAACACTGTTTTAACAATATGATGGCATTGTGACAAAGCATCTTCACCAATCAAGGTATTTCAAATGAATGAAATAACACACTGTTTTAACAATATGATGGCAATGTGACATAGCATCTAGACCAATCAAGGTATTTCAAATGATTGAAATAACACACTGCTTTAACAATATGATGGCATTGTGACATAGCATCTAGACCAAAGATATTTCAAATGACTGAAATAACACACTGTTTTAACAATATGATGGCATTGTGACATAGCATCTTGACCAATCAAGGTATTTCAAATGACTGAAATAACACACTGTTTTAACAATATAATGGCATTGTGACAAAGCATCTTGACCAATCAAAGTATTTCAAATGACTTAAATAATACACTGTTTTAACAATATGATGGCATTGTGACATAGCATCTTGACCAATCAAGATATTTCAAATGACTAAAATAACACACTGTTTTAACAATATGATGGCACTGTGACATAGCATCACGACCAAAGGTATTTCAAATGACAGAAATAACACATTGTTTTAACAATATGATGGCATTGTGACAAAGCATCTTGACCAATCAAGGTATTTCAAATGATTGAAATAACACACTGCTTTAACAATATGATGGCATTGTGACATAGCATCTTGACCAATCAAGGTATTTCAAATGACTGAAATAACACACTGTTTTAACAATATGATGGCATTGTGACATAGCATCTTGACCAATCAAGGTATTTCAAATGACTCAAATAACACACTGCTTTAACAATATGATAGAATTGTGACATTGCATCTAGACCAATCAAGATATTTCAAATGACTGAAATAACACACTGCTTTAACAATATGATGGCATTGTGACATAGCATCTTGACCAATCAAGGTATTTCAAATGACTTAAATAATACACTGTGTTAACAATATGATGGCATTGTGACATGGCATCTTGACCAATCAAGATATTTCAAATGACTAAAATAACACACTGTTTTAACAATATGATGGCATTGTGACATAGCATCTAGACCAAAGATATTTCAAATGACTGAAATAACACACTGTTTTAACAATATGATGGCATTGTGACATAGCATCTTGACCAATCAAGGTATTTCAAATGACTGAAATAACACTGTTTTAACAATATGATGGCATTGTGACAAAGCATCTTCACCAATCAAGGTATTTCAAATGAATGAAATAACACACTGTTTTAACAATATGATGGCAATGTGACATAGCATCTAGACCAATCAAGGTATTTCAAATGATTGAAATAACACACTGCTTTAACAATATGATGGCATTGTGACATAGCATCTAGACCAAAGATATTTCAAATGACTGAAATAACACACTGTTTTAACAATATGATGGCATTGTGACATAGCATCTTGACCAATCAAGGTATTTCAAATGACTGAAATAACACACTGTTTTAACAATATAATGGCATTGTGACAAAGCATCTTGACCAATCAAAGTATTTCAAATGACTTAAATAATACACTGTTTTAACAATATGATGGCATTGTGACATAGCATCTTGACCAATCAAGATATTTCAAATGACTAAAATAACACACTGTTTTAACAATATGATGGCACTGTGACATAGCATCACGACCAAAGGTATTTCAAATGACAGAAATAACACATTGTTTTAACAATATGATGGCATTGTGACAAAGCATCTTGACCAATCAAGGTATTTCAAATGATTGAAATAACACACTGCTTTAACAATATGATGGCATTGTGACATAGCATCTTGACCAATCAAGGTATTTCAAATGACTGAAATAACACACTGTTTTAACAATATGATGGCATTGTGACATAGCATCTTGACCAATCAAGGTATTTCAAATGACTCAAATAACACACTGCTTTAACAATATGATAGAATTGTGACATTGCATCTAGACCAATCAAGATATTTCAAATGACTGAAATAACACACTGCTTTAACAATATGATGGCATTGTGACATAGCATCTTGACCAATCAAGGTATTTCAAATGACTTAAATAATACACTGTTTTAACAATATGATGGCATTGTGACATAGCATCTTGACCAATCAAGATATTTCAAATGACTAAAATAACACACTGTTTTAACAATATGATGGCACTGTGACATAGCATCACGACCAAAGGTATTTCAAATGACAGAAATAACACATTGTTTTAACAATATGATGGCATTGTGACATAGCATCTTGACCAATCAAGGTATTTCAAATGATTGAAATAACACACTGCTTTAACAATATGATGGCATTGTGACATAGCATCTTGACCAATCAAGGTATTTAAAATGACTGAAATAACACACTGCTTTAACAATATGATGGCATTGTGACATAGCATATTGACCAATCAAGGTATTTCAAATGACTGAAATAACACACTGTTTTAACAATATGATGGCATTGTGACAAAGCATCTTGACCAATCAAAGTATTTCAAATGACTGAAATAATACACTGTTTTAACAATATGATGGCACTGTGACAAAGCATCTTAACCACAATCAAGGTATTTCAAATGACTGAAATAACACACTGTTTTAACAATATGATGGCACTGTGACAAAGCATCTTTTTTTAATAGAATGACGACATTGTGAAATGTGAAATGAGTAAGGATGAAAGTAGTAAATCAGATTGATAGTTATTGGCCTATTAGTCTTTGTCTTTTATGTCAAATGAGACATTTAGCGGTAATTAGGAGTCCCATATAGTAATAGTTGGACATTGAAACTTGCCTGCCTCCAGCTATAGTGACATAAATCCATACATCAGTTTCACCTGTTGTACTTAATTCACATTATTGTCACATAGATGTAGAATCCTTGTATCCATTAAAGGTATATATACACAACAACCATATTAGATTATAACAACTGCAAATATTGTATTAGTTACATTTATTGCTATTAATGCTTGTAGGGTTTAGTTTTTACATTATTTTAGTGCTTTCTCAATATATATGTATATATCAAATGCTAGGTAAAAGTTACCTATAAATTCTAAAAATTATCTAATTCATGTAAATATTATAAAATAGATCAATCGTATTGATAAAGTCAAATTTACATTATACAAATACTGCTATCATATTTTATAAAATATTATGGAAATGTATATGGAAATCACAAATTATGTATCAAAATACTGCAAGTAACTTTTTGGGCTGTGAATCTCCATAACACCTCAATTATCAATACTTAACTCATGAGATTATTATACTTTAATGATCACATACTAACAATATGATATTTCACATAATGCACATAAAAATATACCTATACTCTTTATCACAAAATGAAAATCCAATACTTAACATCTTCATTGTTCCTGGTTTAACTGTTAATGGGCATAGATCACATATTATAATTATTTTCAAATACTGCATTCATTGCTATATCAGAGTCCCTTATTGTAGAATAGTATAGGGCTACTAGTTTTGCTTTGTATGTCTGATTCAACAGCGGAGGTTTTGATCTGAAATTACAAAAAAGAATTTGAAGTGACCACTGGTTCAACAGTAAGGACTGATATCCAGTGGAATGAAACTGAGCAATTTTAGTCTCGGAAGGTCTACATCTAAAGGTTAAAATGTTCTACTTCTATGGGGTCTAAACTCTAGGAGCTATACATCTAACACCAACACCAAAGCCGTTTATATGGAACAAAGTCTTGCATAAATCTAGATCACGAGTTAGTTGTTTCTGGGTGTAAGTTGTGAATATAATATCTTGTATTTATCTTAATAAAAGTCATGCATTTGAATCACAGGATTGTATGTTTAAGGCCTCAAGATCTGGGTTGAACATATCTCGGTCAAAGTCATGTATGTATCTAAATCACAGAAATATATGTATCTGGGTCAAGGTTATGTATGTATCTATATCCCAGAAATATATGTATCTGGGTCAAGGTTATGTATGTATCTATATCACAGAAATATATGTATCTGGGTCAATGTTATGCATGTATCTATATCACAGAAATATATGTATCTGGGTCAAGGTTATGTATGTATCTATATCACAGAAATATATGTATCTGGGTCAAAGTCATGTATGTATCTAGATCACAGAAATATATGTATCTGGGTCAAAGTCATGTATGTATCTAGATCACAGAAATATATGTATCTGGGTCAAAGTCATGTATGTATCTATATCACAGAAATATATGTATCTGGGTCAAGGTTATGTATGTATCTATATCACAGAAATATATGTATCTGGGTCAAGGTTATGTATGTATCTATATCACAGAAATATATGTATCTGGGTCAAAGTCATGTATGTATCTAGATCACAGAAATATATGTATCTGGGTCAAAGTCATGTATGTATCTATATCACAGAAATATATATATCTGGGTCAAGGTTATGTATGTATCTATATCACAGAAATATATGTATCTGGGTCAAGGTTATATATGTATCTATATCACAGAAATATATTTATCTGGGTCAAGGTTATGTATGTATCTATATCACAGAAATATATGTATCTGGGTCAAGGTTATGTATGTATCTATATCAAAGAAATATATGTATCTGGGTCAATGTTATGTATGTATCTATATCACAGAAATATATGTATCTGGGTCAATGTATCTATATCACAGATATATATGTATCTGGGTCAAGGTTATGTATGTATCTATATCACAGAAATATATGTACCTGGGTCAAGGTTATGTATGTATCTATATCACAGAAATATATGTATCTGGGTCAAGGTTATGTATGTATCTATATCACAGAAATATATGTATCTGGGTCAAGGTTATGTTTGTATGTATTACATACCCAGCGAAGCATTTGTATTGAAGTCAATGGAGCTGAAGGTCGGCTATATATTCCTGTATAGCCGCCAAACCTTTTACCATGACAATCTTATGACGTCATCGGGATGTCATGTTTCATTTCTTCCTAATTTCACTCGCACACAGACACTTGGCGTCATTGATATAACGTAGCCATGATATAAAAGTATGTAATACAACAGTTATGTCCGTATCATTGAATATATGCCTTCGGTCTGTCGTAATATAACTCTCGCAAGCTCGGGCTATATTGGTGACAGACCTTAGGCATATATTCAATGATAGGGACATAACTGCTAACTATATCACAGAAATATATGTATCTGAGTCAATGTTATGTATGTATCTATATCACAGAAATATATGTATCTGGGTCAAGGTTATGTATTATGAGGTTATATAATGGTTCATTCTGTATATCGTGTTTATACTCGAGTGAGTATATAATATATTCACAAGTGAGCGTAGCGAATGAGTGAATATATTATATTCTCACGAGAGTATAAAATGCACGATATACAGAATGAACCATTATATAATCTTATTATGCCACTCTAAGTTCAATTACAGTTGATTCAAGCACAATCATAACAATTATAAAAACCATAAAAATATCCCATAGCCAACTCAGTAATGCCGATGTTGATATCGATCCATTTATGACGTCACTTGATTCTAGCAAATCATATGGGAACCATTTATGACGTCATTTGATTCTAGGAAATCATGTGTAACAAAACATACACTGGGTCAAGGTTATGTATGTATCTAGATCACAGAAATATATGTATCTGGGTCAAGGTTATGTATGTATCTAGATCACAGAAATATATGTATCTGGGTCAAGGTAATGTATGTATCTAGATCACAGAAATATATGTATCTGGGTCAAGGTTATGTATGTATCTAGATCACAGAAATATATGTATCTGGGTCAAGGTTATGTATGTATCTAGATCACAGAAATATATGTATCTGGGTCAAGGTTATGTATGTATCTATATCACAGAAATGTATGTATCTGGGTCAAGGTTATGTATGTATCTATATCACAGAAATATATGTATCTGGGTCAATGTTATGTATGTATCTAGGTTGACTTCAATCAAGATGAAGGTCTTGACTAGATTTGCTTCAAGATCATAAATCAAGGTCAAGGTCAAGTATGAATCTGGATAAATCATGTGCACCTAAGAGAAGGCAATTTATTCATCTGCATTTCATCATAAACAGATCTTATTAATATAGATAAAGGTTTGCTTGTATTGAATGAAGGTCTGCATACATATATATGGGTCAAATTCAAATGATTCACCATATAGAAATATCGCATTTGAAAGTTGAACTTTATGTATAGAGTCATGAAATATTTGAGGGGCCATTTGAATAATATCCAATGTAGTTATATATTTGTATATTAGATATGGCTGATATTAACTTCCCTTGTCTTAACACACTGGTTGTTGACACTAATGATGGAGGTCTCCAGGGCAAGTCATGATTGTCATAATATGTTGCTTCTAATTGTTTGTTCTAATTAACATTATGGTCAATAGGACCCATAATTACGGGCAATTAGGAAAAGGTAAGGTTATATAAGAGAAAGTCACGCAGACATCAGGGTCCTCAAGCACAACAAGAAATCACTATATCTCAAAATGCATCTCATCTTAATTTATATACATGTATCATTAATTAATTGCTCTTGAATTCATTAATGCACAGGAATTATAAAGTGAACTCCAGGGAATATAGAGATATTTACTAAATCTTTTTGGGAGACAGGCAGACAGGCATTTTTATGTAATCTAAATTGATTTAATTTGAAAACCCTTTAATTTATTGAATAATCAATTCTGTGTAAGATGACCACTTCATATTTTTGTCAATAACCATGGTGTTTTATGCATTTTGATATATTTTCACTCATTATTAGATAGATTCCTTTGATCTGAAAATAACAAATTTGCAAATCAAAATCCACCAATTAAACCAATCTACCATAGTAACTCTTTTAATATGAATAATATGAAAAAATCAGGTTTAATTGACATTTATTGAAGTAGATTTGTAGTTGACAATAGTCGCCTTACCGAATGTACAGAAACTTGTCACTATCCAACCATATGTCATAAAAGTTGTGGAGTATAAGCTTTCAATATTATATTGTTTGTTTAAAATTTTATATCAAATGATGTTTTTTTATGCTTAAAAAAGATGTATATCACGCATGGTATAATTATGTTTTAAGGAGCACACAAAGTGTTGGCATTAACCCACACTGTATCATTGTATATAACATATATTTCTGTTGTTAAAATTACAGACAGTCAAAAACTAACAAAAATGTGTTGAGAAATGGACGAGGACCTGATTGAATAGTAGATTGAAAAACAGGCAGACATAAAGGCATAATATGAAAAGATAGGCATGCATGAATAGATGGCAAGAAGGATAGAAAACAGACATGCAAGCAAACATATGTTTAGACAACCTGAACAGTGAAAACTGCACATAAAAAAAAAATATATATATAAATAACATCAACTGATCAAGATAGTGAACTGCAAATGTGCTTATTATACTTTTTTCAACTACAAATGAAACTATCAAATATTTTGTACTAAAAATGTAATGAGAGACATCTATTTGAACTTATTTCTATTATTCTCCACTATACTAATAATCTGCCAATAACAAAGACTTCACAACCTCACAGTTAACTTGTCAATAGCTTGTACTTATAAAGTTTCTATTTTTACTTACTATTTTTGAATTCCCAACAATGATCTCATTCTAAGTATTTCATAATTATAAGTTGTGAGTGAGCATGTGAAATCTCTAATTTGATTAAACCATAAGACTTACAGAAGATAGCTGAGGAAACAGGGCTATTGCTAAAGGTAGAGCAAATGCGAATGCTGCAGTTGCTATGGTAGCATTCACAGGGAGATGGAGCCTAGGGTTTCTAGCCCACCATTTTGTTCTGAAAAGTACAATTCATGCAGTAACTACAACATGCAGTAATTCCAAGCTGGGTGCTTTGACATACATGACATCTATAAATGAATTATGCAAACAATTACACGAAAACTCAATTAAAAATAGTGGACTACTGCATATTGAAAGCGGCATTAAATGAAGAGTTTTTGTTTTGGAATTATTTACTGATATAATTGGACAGTTACAACACATATGTAAGATGATTTTTGATATTCTAGTAATAATTAATATGAACATTGAAACTGTACCAACATGCAAAGTTCCACTGTATAATGCCCTTTTTTATTTCTGTAGTCAGTGGGAATATAGGTTTGATTGGGAGTGATTGAGCTTCTGCTTCAAGATTTATTAAATATAATTGCTGAAACTTTGGTGCCAGTTTGACATGTTTAATTTTTGACAACATTCAATTTCTGCATTTACACATTCTCACAATCCATCACATTTCAAATCCAGTTAAGTCTTTTAGCACAGTAAATTACTGCTTAGAATTTTTTTTCATTTCTCAGGCTCAATATTCTGGTTTCCTAAAATTGCTTTGCTGGAAGGTGAATTGACAATATGAAAAAGAAATCTGCAGAGATTTATCATGAAGATGAATTTGGCAAATGTTTCAAATTGCCAAATTCAAAAAAGCAGGCTCCAAAGTTACCCATGCTACAAGAGGAGGGAAAGCCCCAGAGTTTAAAGATGACAGACATAAATACCTCTCTTGCTTACCACCTTCGTTCGTTCGAATTTTCATCGGCTAGTTATCAAATACTACACTTCGATGGGATGTTTTAATTGACATAGGCATATTCCGTACACCTTTCTTTATCTTGTTGTGAAATGAGAGGCTATGATATTGCTTAACACGCCAGAAATTAACATAATATTATTCGAAGCGTATTTCGAAAATTTTGAAACCGCCATTGATGACGTCATTTGTTTGTCGATTTTTGACCAATCAGCGACGATGTCATCTCAATACAGATTTACATTATAAGCGTATGTCATCTTTGAACCCTGGTGTTTCTCCCCCTCTGCCATGCTACAGTAGTATTTCTGATTACCTCTCAATTCCAGCCATAATTATAGGAGGAATAATCAAAATGGGAGCTGGCAAGAACATTCTAGTTTGGGCAACTTCAAATAACGCCTGCAATAAAAAAAACAAAATAAGGTCAATTGGGCCCATAACTTGCCTCTCAAATTTGAGTACATACAAACTCCATACATCAAACATTATACAGTATGGGTAAACATAAAGCTATGTTCAATTTTAAATCATTTGAATAATGTTACAACTCTAAAAATTGGCATTTAACTGGATGACCTGGTTGACAAAGTCATTGCAATCAGTAAATATAATCTTAAATAATTTTAGTATTGTATTTAGTATTGAATACACCTACTCATTTTTACATATTCACTCACTGTAGAACTAAATCTTCCAAATTGACTATTTACGGTGATTCATAATGATATGCAAACTATAGTTGGGCCTTACTTTTTTGGCTGCTGCTTTTGAATTTCCAACCACATTTCCTTGTTCATCTAGTACATCAATACCTTCATATATTTCACTGAACCGCATTAGGCAAACATTGCACACACTTGCTGTAGCTGAAACATAGAGAAACGAATATGTTCATCATATCGATCACCATATAGCACTGTTTTACAAGTGACGGCAAATCATTCTAAATGAGTAATTAAACAACAAGGCATTCAACATGACAAAATGCGAGTGGTTGAAGAATTGCTTGGATGCTGAATGCAACCATTGGATGCAAGTCACAAGAAGTCGTATGGTGAAAATATGGTATGACGACCAAACGAAATTGACTGAGTGTACAGTATGCATAGAGACTGAAAACAACTTAACTACATATACCATATAAGATATGACATAATGCTAAAATTGGAATGAAATATTACATTAAATACAACCCTAATATAATAATTTCTATATATACTATAATAGAATGGCTAATTATCACATAATGGTTAGGAAATTATCCGCATTTTAGACTTCCTTCTACAATTTAAATGCTGAATGACCATTTCTCATTTTGACATCATGTTCTTAGATTCATTTCATGAATGCTAAATTTAATCTGATTACATGAATTAGATTCTTTGCTAATATACAGTATTTTTCAAAATTGATTATATATCTTCTATTAATAGGAGTACATTTCTAAAAATAAATAAACATGGTCAGTTTGGATGCAAAATCACCACAATATACTGATTACAACACAGAATCTACTATTGGACTATTCTATAATTAGAGCTAGAAATAATTGGCACTGTAATGAAACAATGGCAGAATTTCTGTTGTTATCGTACTTAATCTCGAAATCCAGCTCTAAATATCATCATCATCATACAAATAACAATAATTATGGCAATTTTCAAATTAGTTGGTATTTTGAGTTTTGTGGAATGAGTAAGTGCCTGGTGGTTATATATTCATGTTATAAGAGAGATTGGCGACTGAACCTACAGAGAACAGCACTACAGTACTGCAGTAAAGATCAAGAATAAGGGTAAGAGAAAATAATAATATCATAAAATGATAATATTATGCATTTAAGATCTGTAATATGACTGGTATAATTAAAGGCTAATGACAGAGATTCTATCAGTTATGGTGCAATATAACCCTTAGCACAGTCTAAATCTAAACTAATATAACAGGATAGAGCTCTCTTTTAAGAAGAAAAGTCATATAAATGCAATGGGTAATGAAATTTATGACTAAAGAAATTTGGGTTTATTGTTTACACTGAAATGGAGAATTAGTATAATGAAATCTAAGGTCATATATTTGCCATATTTCATAAAATCAAGATCTTTGTTTCAATTCCCATATGAACAAACCAAAGAAAAAAAGATTTTCATTTTATGGTCTATGACATCAAATATAGCAGAATATTTACCAGCTCTTTGAAGAATCAATTGAATCATAAGTTATCATAATTTATTATAATTTATTTATTCATTATTTATTATAATTTATACAACCATTGAATTGAGAAACTCATTAAATATTTATAAAGCTTTTACAGCTCAAGAACTTCAAGAATGATTGGAATATGAACAATAATTTAAACACCTTAGCTTTTTAATAGTTGATTTATCAGCTGATACAGTTTATGGGGGTTTGGTGGTACGATAGGATTTTATCCCTTGTGTTTTTGATTCAGTAATTAACACTTCGTGTAATTACATCATACATTTTCTGTATGTTTCTACAGATGTTTAAAGTGACAATATGCGTGGCTACAGCATGCCTGGTGCTATGGTGTGCAACTATTGCATCAGCCAAAACTTCGGGTGAAATAATAGATGAAGAGATTACTAGTGAGGAAGGCCATACAATCAGCAAGAGGTAAAATCGTGGAGACATTGGTGTAGTGAAAATATTTCTTAAATCTCCAGCCAAATCTATAATATGATATGTAAAGAGCAGGGAAGGGGGTTAAATACACTGTTCAATGTCCATTGATTTTTTAATAAAAAGTTGATACCATCTGAGGGTGAAACCAGGCCGTAGCCAGGGGGGTTTCGATGGGTTCAAAAATCATGCAGTTTTTCACCATTCTAAGCAACTTTTTAAGTGATTTAGGCCATTTTTGGACCAAAATTGTCAAAAGTGAACCCCCCTGGAATCTGACCCCCCTTGGCAAATCCTGGCTATGGGCCAATTCATGGCTTGGTTTCAAATTTTTTGGGGGATAAATTCAAGGTGGCCATTCTGAACTTTGAGTCCAATTCATGGCTCTAATGCCTTGTCTGCTGGTTTCTAGGCATATGACTCAATGGTATAACATTGTTCACATTGTTACAGGTCATGCACCTGTTACCGTGGCTACACATGTGTACTTGGATGGAACACATGTACTTGTGAGGATAGCGCCAGTGAATGTAGGAAGATCAAACGTTACATGGCATTCTCCGGCTTTGGTGGTTAGTTAAAGCATTGGAACGACGATACAGAACTTATTCTCTCTGAAAACTTGAAACTCTCGATGTGACCAACAGAAGAAATTGATTGTGATTTTAATATAATACAACTGTTTGTCTTTAATCCATGGAATTAAAATTGATCTGTTTATACTTTAGAAGGTATTTGCTTTAGTTGCTGTATTATTATCATCTACAATGTCCACTTAACTTTAAAGTTCATTCATCCTTGAATAAATGTTACGCTACAGAAAGATTGCATGATCTTAAGTTGTTGCCATGGTGACAGGTATTAACATAAAACATACTGTGTATGTTCAGTTATTGCAAATTGTTACAGCAAATGGTTAGAAAAAGTGTATAACAATTGTTTAAGATGCTGAATGCCACTTAAAACTAGAGGCTCATCTGAAATCAAGCCCAAAATATAATTTCATAAAAGAGTTTTACATCTCAAAAGTAGATGACAGAGATTAAACCAAAATTCTCAATTATCTTGTAACATGGCCTTGTATAAAATACAATTTTATATTGCAACCTACCTACTGCTGGGAAGGGAACAAACCTCTGTATCAACAGCTTAGCACCAGGACTCATTCCATTTGCCCTTTTGATTAGAGTACTCAGACCTACCTAAGTAGAACAAATAAGCACAATACATGTAGTTTAATTATATAGATAACTACAACCGTAGCTCAGAGATTTTGTTTAAGAAATCTTTTGAAAAGCTGATGTCTCTTATTCATTATAGTACAGGCATTAAGCCAATAGACCCAAGGAATAAAGTGAATGGTGCTACATCATAGTTTTTTTAATAAGAGGCCTATTTGACATACTTACTGCAATACCCATTGCTGCAGACACTGCTCCTGTGTAGCCAATAACAAACCTAATTGTGGGAGTTTCCTACAATACAAGAGACACATCTTAAAACATGGCAAACTTGACTATGGGCACAGCTGACACACACATTATGACTTTAATTTAAGGATTTAAAGGGTTCCGATTAGCATCCCGTATAAAAACAATATGGCGGCTCCAGGCGAATCAACTGGATCAGTCCATTTTTAAGAAATAAGGGGAGCTCTGTAAAATCCAGTTTATTGAAATTGTCTTTGAGATAAAGTAATCCGTTTATAATGATTTTGAAAACGTTATCCAAAGAGAGATTGCGTTCAAAGAATACATGTACAACATCCAATATAAATCCTTGTATTAGAAACCGGTTTGTCTTGCTTTGTTTCATTTGTAGGATATTTCATATGCCAAGCTGTGTGCTATTACGTTATGGGGAAATTTAGATGCCAACTTTTCCTTATTGTACACAAATAGAAGATCCTGAAACTTCACCCATAAATGTGGAATTGATTTGTCAAAATAAAAATCACCCTTTTATAAATGTGTGACGATCTATAATATACTTATGCTATATAACAGTTAGAGGTGTTGACACAACGACCTCGAACCTGTGTATTATTCCGGGATCGGGCCTTTTATACTAAACGGTGAGCAACACAAGAAACGAGCGTTCGATTTGCTAAACGATATGCGTCACCCTTTAAGCCCTGAACTCGGTGCAATGCGGAATGGCCATTCATTGAAGGTGTTGCTTTTCAAAATTTGCACGAGATTCAGAGCATCGAGTGTTAAGTTTAGGAAGCAAGGCCTGAAAGGAATGGTCATTACACAATGCATTGAGTTTTGGGCTTAAAAATTCTTTTCACACATTGCAAAATATTTTCTCCAAAATCATCTTAAAGATATGATCACCAAAAGAGCGTATTTTTAATGAAACTTTTTGCAAGGGTCAAGCTGGCAAAGTTTCAATTTTACTTGTAGAGTCCAGTCATCACCTTGACAACCGTTTAACTAGCAACCTTGAGTTCATTATTGGTTATATAGCGGAATGCAGTTACGTGAAATAGCGTGTTCTGATTGGCTGGAATTTGACACACCTTGCCAGCGATGTGTGAATGGTCTACTTTACCTTAGTGGCATTCCTATTGGCATAGTTGACACATGCATTGTGACTTTGATTAATCCACTGCCAGAATATCATTGTTGCAAATGTCTGATTAGGAAGTAACAATCCTGTAACCTGAAGTGCACCAAATAATTCTGATTATTCCATAATAACATGTTTTCCCTGGGAAAATAACAGGGAATAAAAGTGTTATTTGAAAAATCCCGTATCAGATCCCGTATCAGCCAAAATCCCGTATCAGATCCCATATTGGATCCCATATCAGTAAAAATCCTGTATCAGATCCCGTATCAGAAATATTCCCGGTAATTTCTCTTGAGTTTTACGCTTTTCGTCTAGCACATCTCTACAGGAAGTAAAAATATCGTTTGGAAAATTGAAATTATTGAAATTATTATCATCTAGTTTACGTCTATTACTGTGACAAAGGTCTATTACTGTGACAAATATGTCTAGGTATGCAACAGAGGATGTTGATGACTTCATTAAAGGTCAAGAAAATATCAATACTTCGAAGAAAACTAAAAGTGACATAAAAATCCTAGTAGATTTTTTACGGAGTGAGAGGAATTGTATAATTTTATGTCACAATCATTGGATGATGACATACAAAAATTGAAAAAAAAATATTATGAAATAAATAGGTTATTGATGGTCGTGATGGAATATGGATTTATTCCTTGAGAAAATATGATATTGGCCTCAGAAAATATCATATTGACACTCGGGCTATCACCCTCGGTCAATATGATATTTTCCTTGGCCAATATCATATTTTCCCTCGGAATAAAATCCATATTCCATTCCTCCCATTAAATAACCTCTATTTAGTCATTCTCAAAATGCAATCAGTTCAGTAGAATTACTCTGTTGCTACATAAACCAGTGAAAAATCCAACTAATAAATCCAACTAACGTTATTTAATTTTTGGCAAAGAATCATGGAAGTATTTTGTCTATTTTAAAAAATTTAGCAAATAGTATGATAAAAAGATAATGTACTATTCTTGAAGTCCAAGTTTTATCATTGTGATAGCTGGGCCCTATTTGTCTTTATCCTTCCAAAGTGAACGCAAAAGGCAGATAAGAGGGGATCTGGCATACCAGAATGAAGTTTTCTATGTAATACTAGAATTAGCATTTTCTAGATGTGACACATACTTACCATTGGTGCCCCAAATGGAACAAACCCTGCAATGGAAAAAGTATAATGTTATCTTAATTCAATTACTATCACTCAAATGCATCATATACTGGTACATGTACTATTATTTTTATCATTGATTAAATTAATGGTCACTTTATTACCAGCTCATTAACTGCCAGTTCATGAACACCAGAAACGAATAATATTAGGTGTTGGATTTAACCCCAAAATTAAAGAAATGTTAGTTGGTACATATATGCCCATCCTGCATGTTGTGTATAAATCAAAGTATATGGTATACTGCAAACGTTTAATATGGGTCCTATATTGTCAATCTCTTATCATTAGTCAAACATTAAACATGAGCTGGGTTTATGGTGGAGGATGAATAATAAGGAGAAAGAGATAAAGAATATTACTCAGGCATATACAGTGTACCTGCCATTTTGGTTATTTAGATAGAAATGTTGCATACCTGCCATTCTAAAAGGCATGAATATTTTCTCCCCAGTGTCTGGGTGCATCGTTGCCTGTATGAAGTAAGAAAATGTGAACTATTAAACTGAAGAATAAAGTTGTTATACAAAAATTTAAAAAAACAAGATTATCTTGATTTCGCTAAATTGTAAGGCATTGTTATATCATCACTATATTATCTATTATAGGAGTACAGCAGCTGTACTATGTTTATTGTAAAGCATGATGAATTAGACTGTGATCTTCCTATCTGATACAAAGTACAATACACTGTGACCTGCACCTTTTCACAACAACATACTACACTGTTATATAGCTACCCTGGCATTTGACTGTAAGTTGGGAAATCATTTTTAATCTTTGCCCTAAATGAAGAAATACCTGTTTGATTTTCTGCGCCTCCCATAGCTGTCTGTTTGTAACACCAGGAAGTACATTGCCTTGTTTGAAATCTTCTAACAGATTCAAACTGGCGTTCAGTCTCTCCTGAAGAAAACCATCAAAATATGCATACATTTTCTCTTGCGACATATATCTACAAGAAAAAATCTTGTAAGGACAGAAAAATCAAGGGCCAAAAAGTATCTTAGAAAGTTCACAAAGCAAAAAAGTTTTGCCCTCCCCAAGATAAGATAAGATAATACTTATTTTACGTCGGTTATGGTGTACAAAAAACATTAGCGCAAGCGCTATTCTCCGACTAGTGTATAATAAAATCTATGGTAAAAAGTGAAATGGTTATAGCAAAGTATTTGTTGACAAAGATTTTTAATTTGATTTTACCCTTTCAAATATTTTGACTTTGCCTTTTTAAAAGAGAGCTTCATCTCCTTTATGTACTAGTTTCTGATTCTTAGGGTAAATAGGTAAATTATTACTTTTAAATTATGGTTGGTTTAATATTGTACTCACCTCTCCCACCAGTAGGGTTCGAGGATCTATCACATCTAAGAAGTGGCGCCATCTTCCATAGAATGTGCTCTGAAAATATGTTCAGAATATTTCATGATCAATCATATGCCTAATATATCCCAACCAGTTTCTGTACACTATTGAAAATTACCTTGTAACCAATTGAAAATAAAGTACTTGACATTTTTGAGTTAGATCGATAAAATGAAAATTAATAGAAGAAAGGTCTCCAAAATACACGTACAACTGATATGACATGTGGTACAATCTCCAAAATACACATTGAACAACTGATTTGACATGTGGCACAATCTTCAAAATACACATTGTACAACTGATATGACATGTGGTACAATCTTCAAAATACACATTGTACAACTGATCTGACATGCGGTACAACATTTTACAACTGATCTGATATGTGGTACAATCTTCAAAATACACATTAAACAACTGATTTGACATGTGGCACAATCTTCAAAATACACATTGTAAAACTGATCTGACATGTGGTACAATCTTCAAAATACACATTGTAAAACTGATCTAAAATCTGGCACAATCTACAAAATACACATTGTACAACTGATCTGACACGTGGTACAATCTTCAAGATACACATTGTACAACTGATCTGATATGTGGTACAATCTTCTAAATACACATTGTACAACTGATCTGATATGTAGTACAATCTTCAAAATACACATTGTACAACTGATCTGACATGCGGTACAATCTTCAAAATACACATTGTACAAGTGATCTGACATGCGATACAATCTTCAAAATACAGGTTGTACAACTGATCTGATATGCGGTACAATTTTCAAAATACACATTGTACAACTAATCTGATATGTGGTACAACCTTCAAAATACACATTGTACAACTGATCTGACATGTGGCACAATCTTCAAAATACATATTGTACAAGTGATCTGACATGTGGCACAATCTTCAAAATACACATTGTACAACTGATCTGACATGTGGCACAATCTTCAAAATACACATTGTACAAGTGATCTGACATGTGGCACAATCTTCAAAATACACATTGTACAAGTGATCTGACATGTGGCACAATCTTCAAAATACACATTGTACAAGTGATCTGACATGTGGCACAATCTTCAAAATACACATTGTACAACTGATCTGACATGTGGCACAATCTTCAAAATACACATTGTACAACTGATCTGACATGTGGCACAATCTTCAAAATACACATTGTACAAGTGATCTGATATGTGGCACAATCTTCAAAATACACATTGTACAACTGATCTGACATGTGGCACAATCTTCAAAATACACATTGTACAAGTGATCTGACATGTGGCACAATCTTCAAAATACACATTGTACAACTGATCTGACATGTGGCACAATCTTCAAAATACACATTGTACAACTGATCTGACATGTGGCACAATCTTCAAAATACACATTGTAAAACTAATCTGAGATGTGGCACAATCTTCAAAATAGCCTACACATTGTAAAAGTGATATGACATGTGAATTGTGGAGCAATCTTCAAAATACACATTGCACAACCAATCTAGCACCTTCACTTTGTTCAAGTACAATTAATTTATCTGCTATGCAATCTGACATTCTGTATCTTTTTATTTGTGTGTAATCTTTACAAAGAACGGACATTGTTTCAATTTTCAAGAGACTTTCACTGAAAATGCTGTTACTCTACGGGCACTACTGGGCCAATCTCAGCATGATGACTGGGCAACTGTCACCACGCCCACCTATAATTTGACTGCAAGTCTCTCACCAGGGAACTTGATACACAGACAGCCTTGGAAGAAGTTCGCAGCTCTTATCTACAGTTTGTATGTCAGGTTATCATATGTTTTGTCATGTTATGTTTTTTTATTGACTTCTGTTTCAGTTATGGAGCTTTTTATACATGTACAAATTCATGTCCATACTGTGCGATTATACACAGGATCTTGTAGCACGTTTATGATGACTGATATGGGGCTGCCTGATATGGGAGACTGATATGCCTATCATAGTGCTCATCTCATATCATAGTGCTACATGTCTCTGTGCGATTATAGAGATCTACATGTAAGTATGGGCTAACTGAAGATAGTTCATGTAGCGAAACAATACATTTCTAATTTACTCACTTGATCAAACCTTGATTTTCCTATTTCAAAGGGTGGGTAACCAGTCAAGGATGACTCTGACATCCTAAAATCTGAGTTTCGAACTTTGCAGAATCTTTAATTGAAGACCCCTTAAAATAATGTCAAATAAATGTGACAGTGACACCGCACCTTTCACAGTGCCTTTCCAAATTTCTTGAATTGGTGTAAGTCGTATATTAAAAAGTATCTTTGAAATTGAACATAGTGTGGAGCAAGATATATGTTTTTAATTTTAAAGTTATTTAAAAGAGAAATAAAGGGCGAGTTATTTTTGCAATTTTTAAGGGGTCTGGAAGAAATTATTCCCGGGTGAATATTGAATATTGATTTTCGTATAGTGTAACTTACCAGGAAGTACATATTATCGCCCAAGTGCAAAAACGTGGAATTGTTTTCCTTTGGTTTTTGTTGATTTCTGCGACTATCCGGGATAGATTGGATTATATTCCAGTAAGTCAGCTTCAATTTACAAGACTTATCATATCTGTTTTATTTTTTGAATTCTTAACTCCTCCATATCTCACACTCTTGGACCTAAAGTGAATATTGAATAAAATATTCAAATTGAATTGAAATCCTTCACTCTAAGCTTATTCTGTTCAATTTTTCACTTTTTCCACACCTGATGGAAGAACAGATTTGCTAACAGTGGGCACTACCTATTCGGGCAGAAGCGTGTAACGTCGACGTGTGGGGTAATGTTGACATGAGAAATGGGGTAACTTCGGCACTTACTAGAAATTTTCCATTTTTCTCCATGTTTGTTTTAAAAAATTAAGTCTTGTGAGATCTTGATCCATGCAAGAAAACTTGCTTTTCCGACATCAGAAATTACAGCAAATAAACAACAAGGTGTCCAAGTGACCTCATGTGTTGAAGCTGAGACTAACATAAAATGATGGTCTCAGGTTGAAGTTACCCCAAATTGAAACAAAATGGTGTCGATGTTATACCGCTTTACTCTATAGGTGTCAATGTCAAAAAAAATTTGGTATGGAACAGAAATGTACAAAATTAATGGTCAAGGGAGACTGTATTTCTGGATGAGACACCAAACTCATCATGCACTTTATGCATTTTTAGGTAGGGGATTTATGTCCCGATCCCGTTCTGATAGCCTTTCTGTCCCTTGTCCCAAACCGAACCATCTTGACCAAAATAAGGTCCAATATCTTGAAGCTGTGACATCTCTATTCTATAATAATCTTATTAGACTAAAAGTAGGAAAAACTCTTTTGGCATACCTCAGTTTTAATTGGTTGTTTATTGATTTCTTCCTAGAATAGATATTGATTTGGTGTATATTTTAGCTTACCCTTTGTCATCAGTTGATTCTCATACTCAAAATAATATTTTGATACTTGAATCATTGCCAGGGTCATTTGGAAAACAGAAAAATTAAGTATAAAGCACACAATTTCTTCCTATTTTGGCAATATATGTATCTCTGGATTGCATCATGAGGGGAAAAGGCAGTATACAGTGTTGGGGTTGATTTTCTTTTCAATTCTGCTCAATTCTACTATTAATTATGCATTTTGCTGTGTATCAATCAAATCTGAAGTTGAAAAATAAACAATCAGAAGACCATACTGTAGAAGTGGAACCTTTAACGAGAATTCCTTAGAATTCCAAAAATGAAATTGGGCAATAATACCAACATTTGGCATACAGAAAGTAGATGCGATGACGAGTGAAAATTGTTCTTACCTGAAGAAGACTTCAATCTATGCTGGGGTTATGTAATCCACCAAACTCTATAAATATTTGAATAAAATGTTTTTAACCAACACAATTGTTACCATGATAGTATCATCACAAAATATATGCTGTTGCATTTTTTGGCGAAATGATACTAAAATTCAGTTATGAGTGACTTTTAATGAGATGACATCATGTTGCAATTTTAACGATAGTTCCAAGAATAGCAAGAAATTGTGTTTCATACTCAATATCTATGATTTGCATTAGATTGTGACCAAATCAAATGAAAGTCCACAGTGCAAACATAAACCCGGGTAAAAAAGGATAAATCAAAAGAGTTTTACCACTGCAATTACTCACTTGTCCATCTGTCTGTCAATAATTTGCCAGTTTTAAAACCTGTGTCGATAGGATTCTCGTTTTAAAAAGTTATATCCGTTTTTTTTATTTTCAGCCATTTTAGTTAACATTGTTTTGTCCATCTATCTCACGAAATCCAGTTTTAGACCATTTGCCTCAAAACCTCTGTCAGTAGGATTCCCCTTTTAAGTTATTTTTATTCAACATCAATACAGAAAACTCCCATTCCCATATGACTCCTGGTTCAAAAGCTCGCCTATTTTCAAAATGGTCCCAGTTTTTGTCTTACGAAATTCACTTGTGGCCCATTTCCCAGCTTTACAAGTAATTTCAGGTGTCCTGCATTGTAAGAGCCATGTCACAGTAAAGAGTAGTTATATGAAATAATTTTGTTACAAAAAATCTGCAAAAATTACATCCATTTTTTCTGCCATTTTAGCCATCATTCACTTTTGAATAACACCATGTGAGCCCAGTACCCATGGTACTATCTTTTCAATATAATAACATCATATAGATTAGATAGAACTCACTGTGTGACACCCCCACACATGCCCACAGGAGAAACACTATATTGAATCTTATTTTTAGGTCTGAAGTTTCACTGTTGAGATGGTGTTCTTCCATTGCAATGCTTGTGGGGAGTCTGTTAAGAAGAACCAAGTGGAGAAGCATTGCATGAAGTGTCGTAGCTGTGAGGTTTTGTCCTGTGTTGACTGCAGCAAAGAATACTGGTAAGTCAACACTACAAATCCCTCATCATTGAAGGGGTAACAACTAGGGGTATCGCGAGCGCTCGAGCAATTCACCTCCGATACGAGCTGTATCGATACATAAAATGAATATCGTTCGTATCGTATCGTTGGGTCAGTATCGTAGATACGTATCGATATTCAATTTCCTGTATTGTGGTATCTCTAGTAACAAGTCCCTATTCATTAAAGGGGTAACAACAAGTCCCTATTCATTAAAGGGGTAACAACAAGTCCCTATTCATTAAAGGGGTAACAACAAGTCCCTATTCGTTAAAGGGGTAACAACAAGTCCCTATTAATTAAAGGGGTAACAACAAGTCCCTATTCATTAAAGGGGTAACAACAAGTCCCTATTCATTAAAGGCGTAACAACAAGTTCCTATTCATTAAAGGGGTAACAACAAGTCCCTATTCATTAAAGGGGTAACAACAAGTCCCTATTTGTTAAAGGGGTAACAACAAGTCCCTATTCATTAAAGGGGTAACAACAGGTCCCTATTCATTAAAGGGGTAACAACAGGTCCCTATTCATTAAAGGGGTAAAAACAAGTCCCTATTCATTAAAGGGGTAACAACAAGTCCCTATTCATTAAAGGGGTAACAACAAGTTCCTATTCATTAAAGGGGTAACAACAAGTTCCTATTCATTAAAGGGGTAACAACAAGTCCCTATTCGTTAAAGGGGTAACATCAAGTCCCTATTCGTTAAAGGGGTAACAACAAGTCCCTATTCGTTAAAGGGATAACAACAAGTCCCTATTCGTTAAAGGGGTAACAACAAGTCCCTATTCGTTAAAGGGGTAACAACAAGTCCCTATTATTTAAAGGGGTAACAACAAGTCCCTATTCATTAAAGGGGTAACAACAAGTCCCTATTCATTAAAGGGGTAACAGCAAGTCCCTATTCATTAAAGGGGTAACAACAAGTCCCTATTCATTAAAGGGGTAACAACATGTCCCTATTCATTAAAGGGGTAACAACAAGTCCCTATTCGTTAAAGGGGTAACAACAAGTCCCTATTAGTTAAAGGGGTAACAACAAGTCCCTATTCGTTAAAGGGGTAACAACAAGTCCCTATTTGTTAAAGGGGTAACAACAAGTCCCTTTTCGTTAAAGGGGTAACAACAAGTCCCTATTCATTAAAGGGGTAACAACAAATCCCTATTCGTTAAAGGGGTAACAACAAGTCCCTATTCGTTAAAGGGGTAACAACAAGTCCCTATTCGTTAAAGGGGTAACAACAAGTCCCTATTCGTTAAAGGGGTAACAACAAGTCCCTATTCATTAAAGGGGTAACAACAAGTCCCTATTCGTTAAAGGGGTAACAACAAGTCCCTATTAATTAAAGGGGTAACATCAAGTCCCTATTCATTAAAGGGATAACAACAAGTCCCTATTCATTAAAGGGGTAACAACAAGTCCCTATTCATTAAAGGGGTAACAACAAGTCCCTATTAATTAAAGGGGTAACAACAAGTCCCTATTCATTAAAGGGGTAACAACAAGTCCCTATTCATTAAAGGGGTAACAACAAGTCCCTATTCATTAAAGGGGTAACATCAAGTCCCTATTCGTTAAAGGGGCAACAAAGGTTCATGATGACAATTTTTATGTCACCCCCACCACAATTGTTGACATATTTTTATAGTCTTTTATAACTTTTTTTGACAGTGCTTGGCATCTGTCATTCAGCAATCAGCATTCAGAATTCGGCTTCTGTAACAAATGGTAGGTAGTGACACTTTGCATGTTAATTGCTTGTCTTAAAATGGCACAATTTTACCCATCCACCCTTTCTCTTTATAGACTCCATACATGACCAAATATATTAACACACCATCCCACCCACTCTAGGCTCAATTTTTTAATTCTAGGGGTGATGAATACAAGCAGCACACAAAGTGTATAAGTGAGGAAGAGAAGTACTCCGGTAAAGGTTTCCAGGCCAAAGCAAATAAAGGAGAAGTTAAACAAGATAAATGGCTTTCAGTGAGTAGGCCAAGCCAAATAGATTAAAAATATGACAAGTTAAAGGGATTTCAGTGATTAGGCCATGGCAAATAAATAAAAAAAGTCAACAACATTGCAATATACGAAAACCTTGACTTTCAAAAAAGGTGATGATCAACAAAAATCCCTTTCAAAGAATCAAAAAAGACTGATGGTATATTCAACTATTCTATGAGATTTTTCCAGACAATTCTATCAACTCAATATAACGTTGAGTGTCGATTAATAATTTTCACATGCAGTGCAATGAGTCCATACATTTTTGTATCAAGTTTTGGATTATATTGTACTTAGTGCACACATAATTATAATGTTTAACAGATTAAAGATATCAGTTTCCTTGCTCCATGTGTGAGCGCCTGAAAAAGCTAGCATAGAATAATATAATATTAAATTAACTTTTGGCCTGCAAACAACCTTGACCTATCAAATCAAAAGGTCTTATTACAGCCTGAATATGTGACAGCTTTGAAGAGTGACATATACAAGTATACATTGTATGACCAATGACAGCATTCATGTAATTCTTTGAATAAAATAACATGTCATTCCATCTTCCAGCAAGTTGAGCGTGCAATAACCAAAGCACACGACAAACCGCACTTGAAGTCTCTTTTACAAAAGATGTTGGACTACCCAAATATACCCAGGAAAAAAGCAAAATTTCAGGTTAGTTAAGTATTACTACGTCACCACCACAAGTGGTGACATATTGTCTCCATCTTTTGCATGTCAATGCCTTGTATTGTTATTGTATGTAACTCCAGTTATTATGAGAAAGTGAATTTTTAGAGTACAAAATATAAAATCAATTCATTGTATATAGCTGAACATTCTGCAAATATTCTACTAAGTCAGGGACCCATGATCTTTTATATACTTGGTGGAAATAATTTTTCATTTTGATTTTTGAAATTCTTATTTGATAAAGTAACCATTTCCAGTTGAATCAGATAGCATGCTTAAACTTGAAAATATGAGAAATATATAGTACTATGAAACAATATTTGTAACTTAATTACTTCCATAAATGTGGCAATTTTTGCAATGCATGTTTGCAGAATTTCTTGTCAAACAGTTTGAGGATTCGTGATACCAAGTTAGTAGAACAAGTGTGGGATATTCTCATGTCAGAGGCCCCTCCCCCTGCTGTTCCATTAAACCCCACTACAGCGCAATCTATTGAGAGCAAGATTGAACTCAAAACAGAAACTTCAAAACGAAAAACATCAACGTAAGATTTTGTTTTTATTGTTTTTTATTCTAAGGAATGAATGGGTGCATATTTGCCCTCCAATTACCTTGCAGCATTTGAAATTAAAAGCTTGAGAGCATGTTCTAACCTGTATGCAAGAAGGTAGAGCCCTAGTGTATTATCAGGATGGGTAACTTATACATGCATGAATGCTTTCGAATTGAGAATGATACAATGTTCTTTACTGCAATTCAAATGTACTATCACTCCTTTACAAAAAATGACATTGTCCAGTTAGTCTTTATGAAACCATAATGCATCATGATGCCGTCACTTTTTTCCAATAATGGCACTTGTCTGTTCATTATGAAAACATAATGTACTTTAAGATAATTTTCTGCTCAGTTGACCATATACATTTAATTAATGCACTGAAATACACACTATATGAATACTTTAGTGGAATAACTAAAGAGGAATTTTGAATCCTTTTTCCCAGTGTTGCGTTAGAGATGATAGCAGCACTCTAGAATTTAAGATTGTACATAATTAGAATTTGCACCACCCAATATTATTTTACACGTGCAGGCACTTTTATTCCATCAGTCTGTTTTAATAGCAGCACCACTCAACAACCCTTTTCACATTTCATTAATACACCAAACTAAGTTCAAATAGGGATGTAACCTTTACAATTGGTTCATTCATGTGTCTGGGCAATAATATGGATATTGAATGTCAGATTTAGTTCTTTTACAGGCGGATACCTTATGCAAGATTTGTTAAAAATAGATTGAATATCATTTATGGATATATACCAATATACCAATATTTTACAGTATATTTAGTCTTACGAAAGCTAACTTTGTTTTCAGGTCTGAGGACACAGAGACTGTCAAGAAAAAGAAAAAAGGTATTTATAGTATTACTGTATTATGTAATATTGTTATTTATTATATCACTGTCAAGCTTGCATATGATTGGTCTAAACTTGGTCACATGTCATAAAAATTGAATTTGTTATATTTTTGGCAAACATTCACTGAACCATTGAATACACATTTTAAACCATGAGATATGGCGCCATATACAAATTTACTCAACTGAAAACAAGCTGGCAATTACAATTGCAGATCAGTCATAATTCCCTTATATACAGGTAGAATAAAATAAAGATAGCCTTGCTATGCTTACTTGTGCAGATAAGTCATATCCATTTGTGGATAAAATATCATTTATAAATCATTATTATAATCTACATGTATTAGGGGTTTTGAATTTCTGTTCTTGACATATCAGCAAATAATTTCAAGTTTATTCATATTTGGGTTGTGGGAATTCTGTACCAGCCATCACTTCATCATATAGTTTGTCAAATGCCTCACTTTGTGCTACTGTAAACATATTCTTCCAATCATCTATTGTACCTGTAATTGACATAAATCCAGAAAGTACAATACTGTTAATTTTGTTGTTTTATTTATTGATACTTATCAGGGCTCCCCAAGAGAGGGCAGTGAGGTCGCCTATGTCACTTTTAAAATTTCCACATTGTCACTTTGTCACATTTAAAATTTACTTGTCATATTTTTTTAATTGTCATTTCTTTTTAATCAGCCAAAGCATTTAGTGCAACAAAGGGTCTGTTCTGTTCCATAGTTTGATTACTGGTTTTAGAATATTTTAAAGTCATCTTAACTTGCATCTATATACATTCAGAACAAATTGTCTATTTTTGTCACTTTCAAAATCCTTGTAAGTCAGATCAATGTACAAAATTGTTACTTGCAAGCATTTATTTGTCATATTTGTTCATATTTAAATACCCCAAAGTCACATTTTTAGAGGGTGGGTCATCTTGTCACATTCCCCTTGGGAGCCACCTTATCATAATTTCATAGCAGGTATAAGTACTATTCCCACAAGCAAACTTAAGTCATAACAACGTATTCGGCTAATTGAATGTTATTGATCTCTATTCTTATTGTACCTTTCCTCATGTGTGATGCATTTTCCCCCAGTGATCCTTTCATTGCTTCAAATGCCTTCCCTGTAGAAGGGTTCTTCTTGAACTCTTCAAATGAGAGGTGTTGGCACATCTTCGCAATTGTCTCTTCAGAGAATGACTTTTCAAGAAAGGTCGCAAGTTCTCTTATTGCTTTGGGCATATCCTATAAATATCAATGTGATACTGTAAATGAGCTCTTAGTGTATCTGGGCTTTGTTTTATTAAAGATATTACAATCATCATAATTCATTTACTTTGGTTTGCATAAAGTTATTAAAAAGCTGTAAAGGAAAAGTACATGTATTGTATATACCTTAACCATGGTCTCATAGTTGAGAAAATGTACTTGAACATCCTTTCTATGTTTCCATATGGTACTGTAGAAGTCAAACCAAGTCCCAAATGGCACTACAATGACAATTAGGTATTGGCTCTTGGAGATTTCATAGGTTTCTTTACCCATATGGCAATAACTTGGATAAACATGTAGAATATTTTAAAAGGTGACTCAAAGGATTTATAATGTTCTTTGAATTAAATATGAAACATTGAAAACTGCCATGTCTGAAGAGACTCAGTAGTTTTTGGGGACTACTATAGTATAAGTCTATTGTCTAACTTGAAAAAATGAAATTGAGTGCCAAGTGTGCAAAATTATATTACTGATTACTGTTTAGTCAAGTTGCTGAATTGACAAATGGCAGACAATAGGATCCTGATAAATTTTGGAATCATTATATATTCTAATTTGGTTTTAAAAAGGTTGCTCTATCCCTTATTAATGATCTTTGTATTATGTACCTAAAGTACTTTTATTTTCTATGAATGCAGCAAAATACTCATCCCATGTTGGTTTCCTTTCAAACAACCCACCGGGTACACTCGCCATGCCTTGTATCATGTGATAGTTGCTGGTATATACAGACTTCGGGTTTCTTACCATTACAACTACCTGTACCATAAATAGAATATATTGCTTCAACAAGATTGCATGCAAGCATAGGGTAGCATTCTCGGGACACATTTGGTTTTTAGAAAAATTAGGTACATTTTGCCTACTTACTAAAATGAAGCCTAAAAAGGTTTTAGCCTAAATTGTGGTCCCAAATAATTCAGCCTTACCTTACATTTTCCTTGCTTTACTTGGTCAGGCCAGAATTCATAAGAGGCATGTGTGTGTATCATGCATGGTGATGGTTTGGCTGCTAATGATATTAAAGGGTTTGATCCTGCATCCAAAGGTCCAGTTATACCTTCTCCAAACACCCCTAAAGAATGTTTAAACTTCAACTGACTGAAAAGAACTACCATGGATCGAAAATATATTTTCTTTCCTCTTTAAATATTACTTATGTTTTTATCAATTTATCATATCTGGTAATCAGATAAAATGGACGAATGGGGATGAGGCGTTTTCCGCTAGAAAATTCAACAAATCTCTAATATATATTTTTTATGTTAGGTCAACTAGGATTTTTTTGATACGCTTCTAAAATATGAGATATATTAAATATATAAGAAGGCACTAACAACATGCAAAAGTTGATGTTTTTCCAATAAATCAAGCAAAAATGGTCCACACGACCTGTATTAAATACTTGTAAGTGAGGTTATTATCACAAAATGAATCATGTCATTGCTAGGTTTTTTAAATACGAGGGGTGATTCAAAAGTAATGGACAAAATTTTATAGGCATACTAAATTTCACCCAATCAGTCTAATTTTTTCACAGTGAATAGATCAATCAATTTTCTACTTTGTGTCGAATTCTCATTTAAATGCATTTGAAATTGTTTCAGCTATGCGTAACCATGGTAACAAGGGTAAGCATGGGTGGAATTGGTTTTTTAATGATAATTGAATGTTTTTGTCATTTTTGCTTGATTTCGTTTTAATGACTCAATTACCACACATGATATGTCTAACAAGCATGGTAATGCAATTGTCAAGCAAGACTCACATGCCCATGTGTTTGCTGTTGAGTTCTAAATTCAGCAACCAATTGTGCTATGACATCACAATATTTCTAAGAATGATGAGTCACAGTGAGTCAGAAAGTAGATCAGACTCTTAGACTCACACACATCCAAGAAATGTCTACTTTACAACAAATCAAAGTTAAGCAAAGGATTGAGCTAGTTCAGGATACTCTTGCAGCATTCATGGACATGCCTCAACTTCCACATGCTCCATATAGCCCTGATACTGCTCCTTGTGATTTCTATCTTTTTCCCACCCTTAAGATGGCATTAAAGGGACAATCCTTTCAGACATTAGCTGAGCTGCAAATGGCTGTACAAAAACAGCTGAACACCATGGCTGCTGATGGATTTGGGCATGTGTTCTCTGCATGGGTGCGCCGACAGAAGACAGTAATTGAACTTGGAGGAGAATACATTGAGGATTGAATATAATTCAAATGGATGATCATCAGGAATAATAAGGAATGATACGGATTATTATTGAACTTACTGCGATATGCTTTTCATATACATCTTGCATTGCAAAATATATTGCACCAGCAAACTTTTCATTGAAAATCCATTTGTTATTATGATGAAAATAGCCTTAAAAATGGATTCCGGGTGTATGCACCATGATCCAAGAGAAGTGCTCTATCTCAAAATGTATTTGCATTTAGTTAATAACATTTTAACATCTAATAGATAATTGATTAATCTTTATTTGTACAAAGTTTCATTCAAATCTGGTAAAGGTAAGCGTGCCTATAAAATTTTGTCCATTACTTTTGAATCACCCCTCGTAAGTTACCATATGTTATACCATACATATAGAAATAATCAAAAATAATTAAAATAGGATGGAGGTGAAGGGAGGGGGCAGGTATGTGTCAATTAGACTTGATGAAACACCTAAATAGTTACATGCAAGAATGTATTCTAAAATGATCCCTGGTTATTGTAATAAATTTTATAACATACATGTATGTGTTCTTACATTCTGGGCTAAAGGTTGCTGTGAATAATCTCTGATGGATGTGGATGTTCCTTAGTTTATCACAATCTCCATTATTCTGGATTAGTTGCATCAGCTCCCCTGCAAAATGGCTTCCTATAAGGGAGCATGTCAAAATTTGTCAAAAGGTGATGGGTTTGTAGCAGGTTCATCTGGCTCATAAAAATGTAACAAACTCCCTATTTATTTATTTTTTTGAAATCCAAAGCCCTTGTCCGGGCGCTGAAGTGTAACGAGCTGTAGTGTAACGAGTCTGCAATATCAACAATGTTTTAGCAAAAATGTGGATGTTTTTTGGCCCACCCTGTAGACTTGAAAGGGAGTGTGCTAAATTCAATGCCCAGTGGGGGAATGTGGGAATCAAACCAAGGACCTTCTGCTTGCAAGACTGACGCTCTACTGATTCAGCCTAAGGGGCTAGCCACTACGCTGAGACTGATTCACAAGGGCAATCCCACTTCAGACACCTCTGTAACGACCTTAGCACACTCCCTTCCGGGTCTAGTATCTGGCTTGTTACACTACAGCTCCCGAACAGACGTGCCCTCAGGTTGTTACACTAGTTTCACCACCAGGTGGCTAACCGGGGTCAGATAACATGGCAGATATACATGTAGTAGAAAGTTCCCTTAAACTTGAATGAATCATATGAGTTTAAGTGGATCACTTTTCATCTTACCCTTATGTGTCTGATATTATACAGATGAAAATTAAATATTATCTGTCCATACACAAGAAAAAAAATTCACTTTTTGTGATTTTATAATAGGGTTTATGTGGAATCAACTCACTAGAAGTTATATTTTCAAAGTGGATAGATCATTTTTCAAACCACATTTCTAGATTTGATTTTACATGTAGATTTGAAATATGATATCAATTTGAAAATTGAATGACATAAATCAAGATTATTTCTACTTGCATCTTCACTATTAAAGTAAGCTTATAGTTTACTACAAGTTTCTCCAAGGAATAAGTTTAAGAACTTATTTGGTGAGTTCTTTGTTTTATAGTTTCGAATAGCATATATGGATGTAATGATTTTGTAAATGTTCTTACCAGACCTCATGAACGTCACTAAGAATATATCATCGCTCTGAACCTCAAGTGATTTTAGATCATAGAATGCTTCTTTGCGTACAATTGCTGGTAACAGTAGTCCATCCTTATTCTGCTCCTTGCCATATATACAATAGGACTCTCTTGATATATCCAGTATGGTCCTGCTTGATGTCATTTTGAAGTAAATAAGATCAGTAGTTGCACTAAACAACTGTTAATATAATAACTTTTACATTGCTCTGATTCCAGGTCATGTCATACTGCTTGGGTATAACTTAACGCATGTGTAGTGTTTAGTATTAAAGGCAGATAAGATCCATTGGCAGTTTCTAGATTTATTTGTTTTGTAAAGAAGTATTCTGTTAAAACTTAACTTGTTTAAGTTTCAAGTTGAATTACTAGTCTCAAAATGATGTGAGGTCAAATTAGGCGATAAATTACCTGGCAACATCCATATGCAAAGCTATTTAAAAGATCAGGTATATTGATGGAAAGTGATTGAAAAATAGTCATGGTTGCTATTGCACTCACTCACTCACTCAATCACTCACTCACTCACTCAGTTTGTTGTTCTATTTGTCATGAAAAATCATGTTTCAGCTCTTTTTGGTCATCAACTCCATAAGTAATTTATCAATTTGCTAGAAAATGTACAGGTGGGAAGTTTCTAGGTAAAACAATAATGTCTGCTTAATTTTAAAATGGCCCCCTGTTTTACAATGGAATGATGATGTTTTCAACTAATTTTGTCATACTGTACTTGTATCTCCCAAAAGTTTTCCATCAATCCATGTGAAAGTGTACATGTAGCTTTAGTTTATAAGCTAACAATGAAGTTTTGGCAAAGTATTTAGTATTGAGTGTATGTCAAGATGACTTTTCTTAAAATTTCTTGATTCTCTACTTCCAGATAAAGTACAGGATGTTAATGGAAAAGCACTCACAAATGGAGAAACTGAGGACACTGCTGAAAAATTCAACTGGGAAGCAACAATAACTAAGATTTTATCAAAAAATGGAAATAGTGAAATTCCAATTAAAAAACTGAGGAAAAAGGTGAGATATTAGTTCAACATAGAGTATTGAAAACAGCAGAATCCTTGTCTGTTTTCTCAGGTAATTTTTGGTACATTCTGCAAAAGTATTCATATTATTATCCAACCGAAAAAAGTCTAGTTGAGATTTAGAAAAGGATTGAAATTGCCATTGAATAAAAACAGCACAGGAAAAAACAGAAGTTAACAGAACAGAGAATGGCTGTTCGATAGGATTTGCTACGCTTTGGCGTTGCTGTTATCTAGTTGATATATTGCTTTCTTTGTAAATGGCTGCATTATGTATTGAGTCTTCATCTCTCCACCAATAAGTGGTGACACATTTATAGCCAATGTTTTGTGATCTATGTTTGCCATTGTCATATGGTGTTGAGATTAAATGGTCAACATTTTGTTATTTTAACTAGGTGGTGACATTTTGCCATGTTTTAAAATGTCTTGGTTTGATTGGACTGTTGTATATTTGCATGCATTTCAACAGGCATGCAAGGAAATCTCCAAATTTTATAAGTTACTTATGCATATATCAATTTCCTTCCAGTTCCTGAAGAAATACAGGGCCTGGGAACAAGGGAGCACTACAAAATCAGAAGAAAAACTTTTAAAAAAACTGGACAAAAAGATAAAGAAAATACCAGAAATAGAATTATTAGACTCTGAAAAAGTGAAACTTGTGACTGTGGCAACTTAAAGTTTGGCTCTAAAATTCCCAAGATAAGCGTCTTATTTGTTCCGTCAAAATAGCATCATACCAAACTAAGGTACAAGTTGTGGAAAAAACTGGAGTTGGCTTTAACATGGAGGTCCCAATAATGTGACAATGAAGAAACTATAAGTGGAATTCTATACCTAATGATAGATGGAATATGGGAAACATATTCAAAACCAGTTGCAAGTTGCAGAGTATGCATGTTACTGTGAGAACATTCCTTGGTGTTTTGCAAATGAAGAAATAAATAATATACCAAATTATTTTCTACTTATCCTCATTTATTTGGACCAGACTACATGATATCCAGTGATATACAATTTATTACAATTTTTACACTTTATACAAACATAATATGGTATTATTCCAATATTATGCAAGGACGGATTTTGTTTATATTTATTATCCATTATATATTGACCATAGTTACGAGTCTTTTAAATATTCATTTTTAATGAGCTTCAAGTGCATGAATGCCCATCAAAATAATGTGGAAAATGTTGCATTTTAATTCAGCAAATAATTTATCAATAAAATTGCAAGTCCTTTATTAAGCTTTTTGATCTTTGTAACCAATCAGAATTTGAATCTACATCAGTCCGCTAAGTAACAACTTGTGCTCTACTCGCAAACCTTGACGCACTTTTGCTGCTACTAATACCCTTGGATGCTAGCTTTGCAGTTTTATCACGTGTCTCCTCTAGCTCTAACCAACGATTGTGTTCTAGTTGTTTCTGGAATTGGAAAATGATTCAACAATTGAAAATATCATTGTGATTTTCATATTTAGTTATTGAGGTAACAAAAGGAATATAGATAAGTATACATATCATTTTTTCAATTATAATTAAGGATTTAAGCCCTGGACACGGTGCATTGTGGACTGAATCATTGCTGTTGAAGTTGTTGTTTTCAAATCATTGCATGACCGTGCAGCATAGTTTAGGAAACACCGCCTGAGTGGAATGAATCAGCCACAATGCATCAAGTCTTTGGCTTAAATTCTTTTCACCCATTGCAAAACATTTTTTACAAAATCACCAAAAAGATATGAAATCATTAAAAGAACATATTTTCAATGAAACTATTTGCAAGAGTCAAGTTGGCAAAGCATCAATTTCAATCTATAGAGTCCAGTTGACACCTTGCCTAGCTATGTGTGAAAACAAAATCAATCGCAATTAACTGAAAAAATGTTTCACCTTGTTAGTTATTAATGTTTGTGTTCTAGCTGCTGATTTTTTATCAGCCCTCAACTTTGACTTTTCTTGTTCCTGTTTCCTCAGGGCCTTTTTCTCCTCCAGTCTCCTTTGTAATTCACTTAATTTCTCATCTTTGACAACATTAACCTTTGGGACTTTCTTCCGTTCCTCAAGTTTCATAGCCTGGGCCCTACTCAGCTCAGCTCTGTGCTTTGAGATCTGGTCCAAGGTGTCCATAAGTTTCTGATCTTTCTCCTTCAATCACATTAAATGCAAAATCTTAATTTTATTTGATCACCTAGTGTTATCTATAGTATACAATATGACTGAACAAGGTTAAAACCAGCTTTACAATAAATTTGCATATTTTTTTTAAATCGAGGAAATATTGAAATTGAAGATGGGATCTCTTACAACATGTACAAGGAATTTATCACCACTTTAACTTCCAGTAAAAAGTTCAATCTAATAACCTAGATATTACAAGCCTGATTAGACACAATTCATTTAAATAGTTTCCATACCTGTTTAGCATTAAGAATCTCATCTCGTTTTTCCTCCTCTTCCTCAATTTTAGCTATATTCAGCAGTGTCATCCTCTCTTGGAGCTAAAACATACAGATTAGTATACTGTAGGTGGTAAACTTGACTAGATTTTACACAATATAAAGAAATGGGAATACAGCATCATACTTCAAGCTCATAGCCAGGGGGGGGGGGGGGGTAATTCGATTAATGAATTTATCAAGCATTATTTCAAAGTAATTTTACAGGCACATTACACATTCAGTAAGGAAGATAAAAATAGACAGACTGCTGTTTATCTGTTGACCTATGGTAAGTACCATTTAGGCAATCAAAATGATGAATTGATTAAAATGCTATAAATGCACACCTCAGCAATAGACATCTCACTAAGGAGTCCATGTCCTGCAGTATTTGTGAGATCCAGCATCTTAAACCTGACAACAGGGATACTCTCCATGGCCCGGATCTGTTGAATCAGCTCCACTTTGCGCTGCATCTCACGCTCAGCTTCCTCCAGGGCCTGACGCATCAGCTCACGACTCTCCTCATTAACCTCTTGGACTGAAATCATCAATCAGGTACATGGAATATGCTATCATTAAAGAAGGGCAATCTGTTTGATTCAATATTTTTCCTTATTTCTGAATGGATACACATGGAATAAGCTATCATTAAAGAAGGGCAATCTAGTTTGATTCAACATTTTTCATGATAGATACACATAAAATTGGATTATCTCAGTAAACTTCAAAATACCAAAATATTTTTAACCAATCAGCAACTTTTACATTCTTAACCTATTGACACAATAATATTTAGATCATGAACACAAAACCCAGCAATTCTAAAATCATTGGCCATGTGTCTGAAGAAAATTTCGGAAGAAACAAGACTTACCTATTTTTTGTTTATACGACTGCAATCGTTTTTTAGATTCTTTTGCATTTTCGTGGCCCTCCAATATGTTTTCAACCAGTTTTCTGGAGGGGGAGAAAATATGTCATTAGCATAGTAATATGTAACAATTCTCTATAAATCATACTCTCTGATTCGAGTGGTGATATTAATGGAATGTATTGAATACAAATTCAACTTTTCAAGTACTAAGTTTTCTATTTTTCATCCAATGTAAGATTTAATGTTAGCAATGAAATAAAAAAAAAAATGTTATTGCTAGTTCATAAAAATATCTCCATAAGGAGGTGCTGCCCCCTTGTGAACATCAGTGCTAAACAATCAGTTTTACTGAATGAAGAACAATATTTAATTTACCTCATTTCTTTTTCTTCTTCCAATCGTTGCTTTAAATATTCCTGCATCATTTCTTTAGCCTGAAATCAAGGGCAATTATAAATACATGTAGAACATTTTCATGTTGAAAATATATCATAGTAATATTTGGACAATGTATGAATGCAAGTTTCTTCTATTTAAAATTTATACATAAAAAGTGTTTTCAAAGATAAAACACATGTAAATAATAAATATTGACCAAATACAGAAAGAAAACTTCAAAAACAAACAAACAAAAAGACAAATTAAGTCTTACTTCTTCTTTCATATCTGTGACTTTCTGTTTGTTATCTTTTATCAGATTCTGCCTGGCAAGGATGGCTTCTTCATGACTTAATTTACCCTCCAGTCTTCGCCTCTCAATTTCAGCCAAGTCCTTCTCTAAATCTTTCTGGCGCATATTCTTCTGCCATTCAAGGAAGTCTGATGTGTCTCGGGCACCTGATTCTAATTTTTCTAGTCTATAATAAATACATTCAGAATTAGATATTAAGCATTGTGATACACCATATCCAATCTTCTCTGGTGCAGTTGCCAGAAATAGAAAATATAATCTGATTATTCCGAATGAATTATGCATAAATTCAAAAAGTGATTTCATCATATTCATGGAAAAATGAGTCCATATAACAAATAAGTAAGTTATGCTAATACTTCAATATGCCACAAATATAGTACTCTGTTTTATTATTAAAGCATGCATTGTTCAAATCAAAATCAACTTAAATATGGGAAATATCTATGCATATGCATATCTGCCATCATTGGATTGACCAATAAGAGAACCAGTAATGCAACTAGTGAATGATATTATTTGATACCATCCTACCTGGTTATTTCTTCCTGTTCTCGTTTGTCATAGAGTAGACCCTCTCTCAATATGGCTGCTGTGTTTAGTTTAATTGGGACACTATAATTCTACAAAACAGAATCAAGAAAGCTCAAGTGATGCACATATATGGGTGAAAAATAATTATTTTTCATAAAAATTATCAGTTTGTGAATATTTTTCATATTCCAACTAAAGATTCACCCATTTTGTATCGTTCACACAATAATTTTTCATAATTTCAATTTTTGATATTATAAGATAAAATCAAGAACACATACTAAATCATGCTAACATTTGCATCTGATAAGGATAATTTTTTATTAATAATTCCTTTTCACATTTCAATGAATAAAAATAATCCAAGAAAATCAAAAATGAAATATATTTCACAAATGTTACAAAGTATATTCATCTTGGCAAAAACTCTAATCCAAACATCACTCAAACATGAACCTTGTTTCGATCCCAGTTTTTAATTCAAGTGGACTCCAATGTTTTAAAAACCTTGAAATTTAGTGAACACATTCTAATCTGAACATTTCTGGCAAGTCCCAGTGATGTTCAGATTAGACAGGTTTCACTGTATTTCCTTTAATTAGTTTGAATACCCTGCAGCTTACCACCATATCTGGGAGGGGGTTACTTTTATGTCTGTCAAAATCCAGTTTATCCTCCTCTTCTTTCATAATTGTCTGCAGTTTACTTCTTGCTTTCTCTGACTTCTCTGGGTTAGCACATGCAAACTGGCTTCTAGATGCTTCCATCAGGCGCTCCTGCACAACATAACAATTTATTATTATTTTTAGATGCTTACAACATGTGATCCTGCGTGATTCAACGATTTATTGTTTATTTCTGGAGGCTTCAGTCAAGTCTCCGACACAATAAAATAATTTGTTATTCATCTCTAGTATAGAGAGTATCATAAGGCAGTCCTGTACAATACTATAACAATTTATTATCTATTTCTAGAGGCCTCCATTAGACACCAGTGCACAAAATGCACGATTTAAAATAGAAAAAGTTTTCTGTCATTTTTACCTCAGCCTTTCTACGGTTGATTTCTTTCTTGTGAGCAATTCTTCCCAATTCCTTGGGCTCTTCAAATATTTTTGGAGCTGTAGCAACAAACTTTTTCAACTTAGGAATCTGAAAGTAAACAATAAGAATTTAATAATCAAAAGTGATAATCAAATACAAAAATAAGGTATGCAGAATAAATACCCGCAAAAGTGTGTTTTCACTGGAGATAAACTAGTAAAATGAAAACAATTAAAAAAAGTTACAAACTAAGAAAAGTATTACAATACACAATATTTATAATTTCACACAGGGTTCTATTTTTGGTTTGATCATAATTTACGATTCCTAGAATTTCAAAGTAATTGTCAACACTTAGATGAGAATGACAAAGTCAGTTTAGGTGAACAGAACATTTCATTTCAAAGATAGAATGTGATTAATTCATAGGCTTGGCAGAAGTATTTTTGATATACCAGCTATAACTCATTGTTTTGAATTCTTTGACACAATAATGGCTTTAATTGCAAAATACTTCAAATCTACTCACTGGTTCTGGCATGGGGACAGCTCTTGGTCTTGGCTGGGTTATGTTGAATGCTTTGATGTCTGAAAATATACAGGTATATCAAAAAATCATGAACAGGGATTTTAGATATTTCATCTTTTATTTCCTTAAAAACTACGCATGAACCTGTGAACAGAATATAAATGTCATAGTTGGTGGTTTAAATTAAACCAAATTAAAGTCAAAATATGTTGAGAAATCATTTTCTGATCATTTATACGAATTGATGATTTAAATATTGTGATTCATGATATGTGAATATCATGGTATGGATATTGGTCATTTAAAAGAAATACACCAGCTTAACAGTATTTAACTAACTAGGTAATGTATCAATTTCTATGCTGGAAGATACCTGTTGTGTGGACTGGGGGTTTCTTTGGTTTCACTTTGTTTGCAATTCTATCAGACAGTTGTTCTATCAACTCTTGAAGCTCTGGAAGCCAACTGGAATAAGATGGGAGGGGTTATAAATTCATTTATATCACAATCGCTATGATATTAGGTATATAAAGCAGGTTCAATGCTGTTGTATTACGAGCCAAACAATGCAAAAGTGAAATGATAAAGCCATATCAGCATTTCTACCATGAGACCATATATCATTTGTAAATAATTTGAGAAAATATGAAACAACAATTCCCCTTGTAAGGCCCTGTATAGTATTGGACCTTAAAATTGGTGATATTGAGTTTATTTAAAAATATATGAATTGACCTTTCCCATTGTAAAGTCCTTTATTGTACCTAAGAATTGGTGATATTAGGTTTATTTGAATATATGAAATGACCTTTCCCCTTGTACCATAGCCCTGTATTGTACCTTAGAATTGGTCATATTAGGTTTATTTAAAGATATATGAAACAACCCCTTCCCCTTGTAAAACCCTGTATGGTATCATACCTTAGAATTGGTGATATTAGGTTTGTCTGCACAAATGTGCTCTCATACAGTTTATTCCACTCATCACGAATCCATGTCCTTAAGTTCTTCTCATTAAGGAAGAAATTCAAAAACTGAAAGTAAAATCAGATAAATACATGTTACAGTAAAATCCCGGTAAAAAATATGTGTTTCTGTTGTACAATATAAGGTATACACATGACAGTAAAACCAGTATACTTATTAGAGTAAAATCTGTGTATATATTAGTAAAACTTGTTTATTTGAGCACCTCTCTATAAAAGCATGTGTCAATGTGAACACTTTTTGGTCTCATTTTTTCCCCATTAATTGCCATGTCCATCTTCATTCACTAGGCTCCCATCGATGAACGCAGTGAAGACCGAGTGTGCGAAGATGTGCCATGTCGAAGAAACAATGATATTCAAATGTGAAAATGATTTGCCACCCTCACGAAAATCTATTTGTACCCTGCCAAAAGGGTGAAATATTAAAATATTTTGGCCAAATCAGGTTAATTAAATTGTCACCTTGTTGAGAGAATGAGGTGCCCTTTGTATTTATCATCTCTTCTTTACAAATTATTGTAAAAGGTATAAAGAATGGATATTGCAGATACTATATGGTTGAATTATTGCTTGAATGGATGGATCAGTGTCAACACACAGGCAGATGCCAACCTTAATTGTCATGCATGGCTGACCATTCCATGAGTGCAATTATCCAACCATAATCTGCAATATCCAAATTATCAGGATTCAATATTGAAAAATATGATATATTCAAGGATAATAATTGTCACAAATACAATGGAAAACTGACAGTGGTGAAGAATTTAAATGACTCAAGATCATTTAGTAATAAGATGCCATTTCAATAGACAACATGACAGTGAAGTGTACCCATATATCAGTATATTTTATGACTTTAAAACACACTAACACAAGTACATGTACTTGTGTTAAAAATGAAGCCAAAAATCTATACAAGATGTGAAAGTCACCTTAGTTGTGCCTGACCTGATTGGTTCCAATTCCGGGATATCAAAACATGCATGGAATCAGATCACAAAAACAGAGTACAGAGTAAATATTTGACATTTTGAATCCAACAAAAACATTAAGTTTAGTATCACACACGTGCCTATTCAAATTGTTTGCTACTGAGATACCAACAAACATAGACAAACAAATATGCATACAGTTTACACACGTCCAAATACGATTTATTGACTTCAAAGTTTTACAAATCTTAAGTAGAAAGCAAGTGCACTAAAGTACAATAAAGTACTCTGTCCTACTTGGTTAAAGTCAATGTTTTAATAATTATCATCACTTGAGACTAAATAATGAATTATGTCAACAACTTTTATAATTTATCAATTCTACATCAATTTTACACACATGTCGGCTTGTGGTACATTGGTTTCATCATGGGCTTTCAATTAGAGTTGAAAGCCCATGGTTTTATACAGCATATGCATTAGAATATGCTGTAATTGTAATGGAGTTAATACAGGTGAAATTAAATAATAGCAGTTGTTCATACCATGGACATGTTCATACTTTGTCCTACAAATGTTTCTGCCCCCCCCCCTCCCCCTAGACCATCCCTCCCTCCGTCTTAACTATTTCACTGACCTGATTGTGCACTATAGTATGAGTAAAGAGGTGCACAATGACATGGAAATTCAGACAGCTTTTCAAAATCATTTAAAAATAAACAATATATTCTTAGCCAAAAAAGCTCACATAATTTAAAAAATATAAAATAAAAACATGTTTGTGCAAATTAAATTATATTTCTGCATAGCCAAGTACTTTGAGACACTTTTAAAAATTGTCATGGTGAACAATAGCCAAAGTCAAGTTTAAATCATCAGTGCAAAAAAGGTAAACATAACAGATTGAAAGTAGGACATGGAGTATCCTGTTTAAAGTTCTTCACTATATTCATGTTAATTAGTCATAAAATCTTCAAAAAGAGTTTAAGATAACGGATTTAAACAAACAATAATTTATTATTCTAATGTATTTACTTTGGTTAGACTCAAGTCAATAAATAAAATAAACGTTTACATAAAACAATTAAATGTGAATAAATGATATTGATAAGAGAATAAATAATGAAATTAAATCAATTAATCTTATTTGCTTCTTGATAATAGCGTGAGTACATCTAAGGTGTTCATGTGAACAATTAGAGTTGCTAAAAATCAGAGAGTTCAAAGTACAATTTATTTCTCAAGACAAAAGTTCACACAGTTAGACATTATAAAGTCCATATAGATATTATCCATAATTTTTTAAATTGGTCAAATTTTGATTCTTCTGAACATGTACATGAAGCTTTCTTTAAGTCCATATTTTGAACTACAATGCCATCCTGAACACCATGTATATGGATACACCAGTTTAACTCATTGTATTTATGTAACTAGCTACTTACCCTATACATTTTATTAACATCCTGAGATCGGACAAACTTCCTGAAGTGTGACATCCCAAGTTCATCCAACCGGAACAATGCTATATAGGCAAATACTGGAAACAACAGAATTTTGAAAATGAGAATATCAGAATTTTTTAAACAAATCTTACTGAAAAAATTAATTGAATTATATTTAAAACTTCATTTGATTTCTTATGATTGAAATATTGAGACTAATGACAGCCACAACAGGAATGATTTGAGTTTACAATAAAATTATTCCAACAACTTTTTAAGGATGATTTCTCAATATCCACAATGGTAGAAAACCAAGGTTAATTTTGTTCTGGTTAAGCCCTCTCCCTCTATAGTGAAAGTATCAATTTATTTAAAATTCCCCAAAAAATGCCAAAAAATCATATTCTAATTTACTCATGAAACTGTCATCCCCTAATAACAAAACATCATTCTTCATTAACTGTTAACATTTTCACACCATCCCTTACCTATATATAAATTCTTTTCTGATCTCAGAACTCTTCTTCCATCCTTTGCAAAGAAGCCATCCATGACGACCTTCATTATATTGTCATATCTGATACAACCAGAAAACACCTCAACAATGAAGGTGTGGTCACTCTCATCAAGACTCTGCAAGACAATGCGATCATAAATGCCTTTCCAAATATATAACACATGATGAGTAGTTTTGGAATGAACAGAGATTATCCTACATGAGGTAAAGGATATTGGGATTATCCTGGGGTCAATTTAATGTATCTTCCCATCAGCATGATCTGCCCACTCTGCAACTTTATGAGAACAAACATTCACCTTGATAAATTATTTGTGCCACAAAAATGCAACTAACTATTTTCTGTAAGAGGTGCTTTAATTTTTTTGAAATTCTCTATGAGACTGCATAGTATGTTGTACTTACTGGTCTCTTTTTGATGTAAGAGTTGACATGTTCTTCAACTGATGATGTCACAGGATTGTAGGAGTTAAGCACTGCCACACAGTCTTGAATTAAACCCTTGTAGTTCATCGTTCTTCTGGGTTCTCACCTTAAAGCATAGACATGATCATTTTACAATGGCCAGAGAATCATGCATTATGCTCAATGTACTGGAGATTGCAGTGAAACAAAGTCTTGTGCTTTCCGTCCACTTTACACAGATTACAGGGGCGTGATGCAGGACTAAATGAATCCTAACTATCATCATTGCTTACAAAGGAATAATTTTGAGGATACTGAAAACTGTTTTCCTAATGTGAAAAACATAGCATAGATAAAATAATGAGTGTTGGATAGAGCTAGTAATTTTCTTGAATAACTCTTTTTGCATCAGGTGTACATCTTTATATCTATTTGCCAGTTCTCACTTGTGCTTTTACTCACTTGCTATTTAAGAAAAAAATTATGTTTTTCATTTCACGCATCTCTTTATAAAATGTGAGTTCATATTAGTACATGGAAAGCCCTTGAAACCCCATGTCTGTATCAGTTGTTATTCATTGTTATTTCACTCAGTTTCACTAAAAATTTCTACCTTTGCTGACTGAGCTGACCACCTTTAAAATGACAATACAATGCAATATCTCATTTTTTGACATTGCTCACTTCAATTCTGATACTGGTTTAGGAAAAACACCATCCGCCGACCACTGACCAGGCACTCTCCACAGTTGGGTACATGTGGTCAGTGGTCGGCTGTCTGCCTTTTACATAAAGATGAAAAGATGCAAGTAAGAAAGTAAGATGCAGAAGAAAGTAAAACTAAAACTGGGAATCCAATAACTAAGGTGGTGATTTAAAAATGTACTTAATCATTTCAAATCAAAATGAAAAATGTAACATCGTCGTGGTATGTAATGTCATATTTTTAAGTGATGTCTCAGTTTCACTTTGGATTATGATGAGAAAACTCACGTAGCATTGCATTAAGTTCATTAATATGAAACGCAACAAAAACACACTTTACATTGTCAACTGGTAAAAACTACATTCAATATGACAAAAAAAGCTTTCTAATGGTGAACTGAAATGGTTAGTCACTTTTAATCCTGATAAGAGAACGCACTTAACATTACATCTTGTTCAGAATTCAGTAGGCTATGATGACAACAAATCATTTTTATTTCGAAATTGTACTTAGATTTCAGTAAAAAATTAGGATGGATTCCCGTAGAAACAATAGGTTGGTTAATGCATGGGGTTTCAATTAGAGTTGAAATCCCATGGTTAATGGTAGGTAAGGAACCTAAGGCAGGAAAACTAAATCGAGAGGTGACGGTCATGACAGTCTACTTAGTAATGTAAGCTCATGGGCGTGGCGCCTTTGACGTACAGTACCGTGTTCAGAATAGTTCAGAATAGAACTATTTAAAGTTGATAAAAAACTCAGATAGCATATCAAATAACGTCTTCGACAAAAACATTCCTTGGGAGCCTACCCCAGGACCCCCCAAGATGCGCGACCTTCGGCCAATCAGACATACGTAGATGCCGGTGGGCGTACCGACTCAAAATGTTATCCTGGAACTTAGAAGTTGCAGTTGAAAGCACTTATCGAAAACGAATGAATGATTAGAAATTTCGAATCACGACGAGATTCGAATCAGAAATTTTAGAAACTAGACTAAACATCGATTTTCTTCTCTTAACGATAGTTCTGGAATTCAAAACCTTTCACAAACTTACCTTAGTTTCTTTCAAATAAAGAGAATCATAAATCAATCAGAACAGAATGCATTAACCCCTAAAATATTGTATAAACGTGGTGAATTTTAAAATTTTATGTTTATATTGACAACAAGGTTACTGCGCATGTCCGGAAACAGATAGTTCTCCAGTCAGCAAAGCTTGACTGACTCATTGGCCCGATAAAATTTCTCTGCTTGGAGAAAATCCAATTAGTGTTCGGCTATATCCGTAATTCCTCGGCTCTGCATGACATTTTGACCGTCTGCATTCAAAACAACAAATAGAAGAAAATCTGCTCTCAAAGGAAGAAGACGTACAAGAAGAAATATGACAGTAACTGTAAGTCACATTAATTTATTACTTACATAAGATATCCAAGTTTCATTTTGCATGCTTATGACTGGCATATGTTGAATACATTGCTTCTGTGTTCATTGCCAACACCATGCATCATTTTTACAAATCTGTTTGTTATTTTGTTACTGTCACTGTCTGTCAGGCTAATTGCTTTTCAAATGATTGGATTTGTATTTGAAATTGTTGATGTAATGAGTTCAACATATTATTGTAAAGCACAGTCTGTTATGCATAATTGCCCTACCCTTTGATCCCGGGCCTTTGATGCAGCGATGCATGTCAAAGTATCTCTTGAAGGCCCATGGTTCATTTGAGTGAAGAATCCCAGGTCAATGAAGGACTAGAGATCATAGAGATGTAAAAAATATATTCATCTTGAACAGAGACATGAAAAACATGTTTTTCATGTCTCTGTCTTGAACTTGGACCCCTTTATGTGTGTGCATACTAGTCAGTCTGGGTTTTGCAGTGTCAACAGGGGTGCACCCGGAGGCTTCTTTTTAATGGGGGGGGGGGGGGGGGGGTACTCTAGGATGGGAGAGGGGGAAGTTTACATTTAGAGAGCTACATAATCCAATATTTCTTAACTGATATTTCCCTTGATGCCTTCTATCAGCAAAAGTCATGGGATCTGTTATTGCCTAATTGCTATAAGCAGCTAGCTAGATGCTGCACACTAACTTTGTAAACATTAGATATTGGCTCCATGCCAAGTCTAGTAAGCACATTATTTTACTAGGTCTGATAACTCAACCAATATGTAAATACTGTTTTAACAGAAGAGCCTGTGTTCAATATTGTGATAAACTTTGCTGTTAGAAGCAAGAAAAGAATTGCCTGATAAATATAGAACAGATATGTAATGGAGAATTAGTTCATATCAGACTCTGATTAAAACCAGAATAATAACAAAAAACAAGTTTTACAAATGATTACTTGGCATTAAGATAATCCTGACCTAGATATAAATTTCATAATATATATTACTAGAGCTTTGAATAAACACTTCTATTCCATACTTGGGATTAAGATAATCCTGACCTAGATATTAATTTTCATTATATAACTAGAGCTTAGAATAAACATTTCTATTCTATACATCTGTCTCTTTTATTTTAATTAATACTATTCAGTACTATATCTGAATGCTGTTCTATATTTATGCATTTTATTGTCACGAAGAGCTCAGCAATAACAATGCTATTGAATATGCTGCTTATCCCACTAATAAAAAATTTAGATATCATTTAAAAGGGACTTGAAGAACATTAATCTAGAATATTATAAAGGAAAAACTAATAAGATAATGTCTCTAGGATATATGGCATAGTAGTTATGGAGCTCTCTGAACCAGATTTATTATGACTATAAATTAATTTGATTATGGAAATCAATAATCCCTTTGATATATTGCATAACTGAACTGACTCTTCATAAAAATAATGAAATCATTTATCATAGGCTTGGGTCTACTAAATGTTTTGTTGATGCATTTGTTATGGTTTAGATAAAGGCAGTAAAAATTCCCATTGGTAAGATCTAAGATTCAGGTAACCTTAGTAACTAATCATGTAAACAAACCTGTGCATTAAAATAGCTGTTTACTTGGAGTATATGATAAAAGCATGAGAAGTTCCAGTTACTACAAGTTTGAAAAAATTCAAAAATCTCATTGCACTTTAAAAAGAAATTTGCTAAGTAAGCAATTTTTCAAGCTTTGAAATTTACAGGGAAGCAAATTTGAATGAAAGTGTGTTGATGGTTTAAGTCATTATGGTGATTGGTATGATTTTTTTTAATGTAGGGGTATTTTTAGATCAGAAATCGAGGTCATGTTGATCCATCAACATTTTCTTGAAGGATGGCAGATAATTAGAAGTTGAGCCACTTATTGCACATAACTAACTGTATCCATTATCTACCAACAGATTAACTTCAATTAACAAAGCTTTCAATCCAGTTTAAAGTACATTAGACTGCTGTCTGTTAACTAGCTAGTAAGCAACTATGCATTATCTGAAATGTTATCAATAACAAGAGTCTAGTATTATCTCAGGACTCAATTACAAAATAATCAAACTTTTGGAACCAAGCCAGAAGTTCACCATACCTGCACTAGAGATAAACAGGTATAGCAGTGTGTTTTACCCATGTGGTGTGCAAATATTTAGATAAAATATTTGGAAAGAAAACGATGTCACATTGACATCACAGACTTACCAGATTTCAGTTTTTGTCTGTAACTTTACAATGTGTAATGATTTGTGTGTTTTACAGCAATAGGCTTATGCCGTTGATAATCATGGTTAGTATTGGGTTCCTTGAACAGAGTTTCTACTCAAAATGTATTTATCTTACATCCCTAAATTTATTACAAAACATTCCCTATAATAACACTGTTCAGGATATACCAGAATATACAGTGTTTGTTTGTTTTTAGTTTGTTGTTTAAAAATTACCATTTCAAACATATTTATTACAAGGTTGAAGAATACTTATAGTGTACTTTCCATTCTTCAGTTTGACAGGCGAAAGTGCATATTTTAAAAATGTCTTAAATAACAATATAAATACACTTTAAACCTGACTCCAAACATGTTTGTTTTTTATGTTTGTTTGCACTGTTAATCATCGACCTATTGTTGGTATCACCATCATCAACAGATCAATTTGGCGGCGCTAAAATTAGAATGTGACGAATCAAAAGGAATCAACTGAACGTCAGTTGCAAGATGTAAACATCTTTAAAAACTCCAGATCCTGTATATCTTAGTTCTAGCCGATCGATTTTGATCCTGAAGTAAATATCATAAAAGGCTGTGTTTGATGATCAAACGGTCACATATCTAGATCAAGGGATTAGCCAGAATAACTCTTTAATTGGTCAATAAAATAACAGCCTACCAGGGATGAGTGTTAGAAATATATTTGTACCACTTGTCAAGTTTGATCCAATATTCATATGGATATTTGAGCAGATCAATTATCTAATCCTCTTGAGATTATTGTAAATCTTGAGTAAGATTTTGATTAGTAAAGGACTGATTTATAAGTTGTTAATACCACTTTGTTATTGGAATATAGCAGAGTCTTTACTCTAACAGTATAGTGCCTTCTGCACCTCAAATTATACTGATCCAATTCTTCATGGGATCGTGTATTAGTCAGTCATTTAAAGGAGGAAGAGAGTTATTATTTTTTATAGTAAAATCAATATCCCATGTGTGGGTGGAGGAAAACTCCAGAATAAAAATGTAAATCAAATCACCATCATGGCATTATTTGCATAATGGCATACTGGGATTGCATCTATTTGTCAGTGAATATCTGTGCATGAAATATATATCTTGTCTTTTCTCTAGATTCTGTCAAAAAACTCTCAGTTTTCCAGGCTTCAGAAATATATAGCTCTTTTTGTGTCATTATTAATTTCACATTTCCTTCGGTAAAAAATGATTTAATGCTTGAGTATTTGATCTAAAATCCATGTTAAATTGCAAAGAGGGTTTGGCAAAACTAAATCCTAATTGTCTTATTTTTATCCTTTTTCAATTTCATCTATTTTTTATTTTGATGTGAGAGTCATCTGTTTTTCTAAGCTCTTTTAGTAACCAGATTTAAACTATAAATATCATGTTGTGAAAGGAAAACGGCAGGTCAACGTTTCTTATTCCTTAGATTTTTAGCACCAGTCTGATGAAAAAGCACTTTTCTTGGCTTAATAATATCATAGGTATTGACTCTCTTATTGTCGTGCGCCATTTAAGCCTTTGTCCTGCTGGATTTATAGAAATTATGGTTGATTAGATGGGCATGGATTTGTCATCTTATATTGTATAAGATTTTTTTGTTCCAGTATTTTCTATAGCTAAGCCTGTACTGAAACATTGATTAAATGGCTAGACTTCAATTTCATTACTTTGACAAGGATAGATTCTAGATGTTGCTAGGATAATTGTTCATTTAAGATATCCTGAGTAGAATAGGTAATCTTACTAAGAGAGAGTCTTCTAAATCTGATACTGTGATATATATCCTTTGAATAAAAAGGTGTTCGAAAACTAACAAGGCCACCTGATATGGCTCAGTGGCATAGTCAAGGTTATCAATTATTGCTTGGCCCCGGGTATGATTCCCGATTCAGACAAGCTTGTTTGTGCGTTATGTAATTCTGGGTGTTTGACTGAGTGGTTCACGACTCGTATAAAAGGCTGTGGTGTGTACCTGTATGTCTGTGTGCCTGTGCACACAAAAGAACACAGGGCGCCGACACTATAAGTTATTGAATGATTTGAAGTGCAATACAGGATATATTCTGCTCGAGAAATTCCGTATTGCAACGAGACGAAGTCGAGTGCCAATACAGAATATCGAGAGCAGAATGTATCCTGTATTGCACTTCAAATCATTCAATAACGTTTTATCGTGTGATCCTCTGTATTACTACTGATATTGTCCCCTTCGCACCAATATTTTCAGTATTGCAACGGAGATGATCAACGGGGACAATCGCAGTAGCAATACAGATTGGTACAGCACAAGAACTGACCAATCAGAGGGCTTCATTTTACAGATCATATGATAAAGGCTTGTATATAAAGATGACTATTTTAAAACAGGGTGTGAAAAGGATCATATCTTCCAAACTCAGATGCCAATAACCTTTCTACAAGTCTACTTTGGCTCAGTGCATAGCCAATTAAGATTACTGCTATTGTTTGGCTCCAGGTTCAGTTCCCAGTTCAGACAAAATTTGTTTGT